AGCACTCCTCATGCAAATGTGAGTGTGGCGGACTGCTCCCTCAGCTTACGTAGGTTGAAACCAGCACATCGGCTAGCCCATGGGCCTCCCGATGTACCTCAAAGTGAACCGAGGTACCCCCATGGCCAATTTTCACCACTTGGCCTCTCTGGGGAAACTTGGGTCGCATTTTGGCCAAATACATGTAGCGGACTGCTCCTTCGGCCTCCTCAAGCCTCTTTTCCAAATGCCCAAGGGGCAGGCTTACTTGAATCGAGTTTTTCTGATTCTACCCCATTTTGGGTAGGCCGAGATATTTTCCCATGTCTCAGTGCTATCTCAGCCTTGGATCTGGCTAAGATCCAAGGCCAACAATATTGTGAGCTACCCCTAAGTGGTCCTTGCTCCAATTTTGAGCCCCTAGACTCACTTTTTCAATTTTTGGTGCATCTGGCCCTCTTTTGGGGCCAAATGCACAGTTCCGTTTTTTTCCCTCTTTTGTTTCTTTCCATTTGGGCTGCCAACTTGTTCCGGAGTTGGCCATTTGAGCTGGCCCTACAAAAAACAGCCATATGCTCTCCTCCATGAGATCTGATCTCAGATTCATGGCCCACAAAAAAAACAGTCAACTCCTTTGTACCTTTTTTCTCAATTTTTTTATTTAAATTCATATATTGCTGAGATAATGCTGCAATTCGGAATGCCCTCCACCAAATCTGGAGGGATGAGGTCACAGTAGGGGACCTGCCAATCCCTATTGTGTCAGTCCCAACTGGCCGGCACATCAATTCTCCACCCTTTTCTCCCTCTTTGTCTCATTCTCCCTCCTTTTTCTCTCATTTTTTTCTCTTTTTCTTTTATTTCTCTTGTGACAAGTGTCAAGCTGTTGTAAACTCTCTTTCTAGGCCTTAGATCCTCATTCATGGCCAGATTTAAACCCAACAGCTGGCCGTTACATCTCGGATTACAATAATGAAGCCCCCATACTCATGGGGTTCCCTTTGGCCTCCGTTTTTTCAATTTTGAACCCCCCTTTGCTTCGATTTTTCCTCAACGGCTTATTTTCTGCATAGAGTCCCTTGGGGCTCTATTTTATTATGCCTTGCTAGTCCGGGATATCTCGGACTGTTGGGCAGTCCTCCCCTCACCCTTTTCTTCTCCTTTTTGCCTCCTAGCACCTTCTCTCTTGGCCCATTCGGTTTTCGCTTCAACAGTGGCTAATATTTTCCACCGTTGAGATCTTAATCTTAACGACGCCACTTGTTTTGCAACTCAAGTCCCCGCCATTCTCCCCATGCTAGTCCCATTTTCTAATCCCGGTTGTAATCCTGCCGGCGAATGACCCAATTTTCAATTATTTTTATTTTGGCCCATCTAATCCCTGGCACCGTTCCCAGTGACGTCCCATTTTTATTTGGGGCTTCCTTGTCCCCGCCAATCCCAATCTCATCCTCTTATCTGCCTCAAGTGTTGTGGATATTTTCGACCGCGAGATCCACCATCTCGCGGCCACCATTTACCGTCTCCATTTGCCCAAGCCCAAGACAATCTTTTTTAGTGTCTTGGGTGTGCCAAGGCCCTTTTTCCCTTGGCCTACGCATCCCCATGCAGTTCGTTATTTCTCGGACTGCTATAGTGTCCATTTTCCTAAGCCCCATTGCCCCGCAACTTGCTCCAAATTGAAACAAAACAAACGGTTAACCCCCAAGTGCATCCGGACTCAATGTTGGCTCCGGACGCACATAAAACATGTGTTTTCCTCCCCTCTTGCAATCCGTTGTATCTCGGTTGCATCAGGCCTTTATTTTCTTTGATTTTCTCAACAAAATATAAAGAAAGTCAAGGTAGTTTGCAACCGACATATCCCAGGATGTATCTGGTCACGGATGTACCTTCCCAAGTAGCCGTTTTTTATTGTTAGTGTCGTTTTTCCTTTTTTTTTCTCTTTTCTTTTCTTTTCCCTCCATTTTTGAACAATAGGGACCTGCCAATCCCTACTGACGGCCAACTCACTCACTCCCTCTCACTCCTCTTGTCTTATTCTCCCACCTTTTTCTCCCTTTTTTTCTTTTCTTTTTCTTTCTTTTTCCAGCATGCCAAGTGTTAACAAGCTATTGAGGCCTTTTCTAGGCCCTTCCTCTTAGTTTTGGCCCTTCCTATGCCCAAGGTGCAGTCCATTATTTCTCGGACTGCAACTTAGGCTCCCCAATGCCCATGGGAGCCTCATTTTGCCTATTTTTCCTCCAGACTGTGGCCCCTCCTACTCCAACTTTTTCCCGGAGGCCTATTTTTCACATGGAGTCTCTCTAGGCTTCATTTTCTTCAAGGTGGCCGGTCCAAGATATTTCGGATTGCTGCCATGCCTCTTTTCTTTAATTTTCTTTGTTTTCTCTTCTCTTTTGGTCCTCCCGTTTGCTTCCACTAGTTCTTGCACTAGTGGTGCTAGTATTCTTGGTTCCGATCTTGATCATGACGGCGCACCTTGCTTTGAATATTTCTTTGGGACATCACAAGTCCCCGCTACTTGTCTCGCGCAAGTCCTCGAAGCGTGTCCCACCGGTGGTCCCATCGACACTTGTCCGCTGGTGGTTTCGCCGACACTTGTTTCGCGCTATCGAGCGCATCGGCCCGGCACCGCACAGGGCAGCGCGGGACCCTTCCGGCCGCGTCACGCAGGAGTTGGTCTTAATCCTCACCGCAAGCACATAATGGAGCTTTCGCAAGCCGCTCCGCCCGAGTGCGCCAGCCATACCACTTGTGAGCCCCTACGACAGGATAGGGCCTACGCGAGGCACGACTTGCCTCCACCTTACGGGAGTTGTCACCTCCCTTCGGTGGGCGTATCCCCGACGTGCTACCAGTCCACAGTATGAAAGCTAATCAGCTGCAATCACAGAGGTGGACCAGCCGAGGGAGTTTCTCGTTCGTTGTAACATAGGGGGTACGCGCGGTAATAACCCTCTATCGAACCCGCACGCGAACCGACGCCTTGGGGGGCTGAGGTCCCAAGCGCGACTCGTCGCCTGTCGACTAGGATGCATCCCACACGCCACGCGCACACCACTATAAAGAACATAAAAACAAAAACATTATTACATACACGTACACAAAACGATACAAAACAAACAACGCGACAACACTCCTAGTCCCTTGGTAGCCATCTCATAACTCTCTGACACGGAAATCGGATAGGCGACGCGCGCGAGACTTAGTATAAAACCGCGCAGACGCAGGGTTAACTTGTATCGACTCGCAATGCAAGCGTACGCAAGTGGTCGCAATGATGGCGTACTATGTAGTACCCATACTCATGCGATCCTCGTTATTCTCGAGGGTCACGTTCGACACTCAAGTGTCGGCTGACACGCGCCTTGAGGGTTAATCTCTCGATGTTGGACAACCGCCAAGTGCGGTTGAGAACCACACCCTCTTCTGCACCCTGCGGACCGAGGGTGGAACACAGGTTCATACTTGTGGTGGCAATCGTCTCTTATTGCCCCGGAGACTAGCTCCTTCATCCACGGTCCGGAAAGAAGTCAAGCGGTTTGACTTTGACGACTGCCACGGACTACAACGTCCAACCATAGAAACTCTAAAAAGCAAATGATAAAAGGGGATCCCCTTTTTCTCTCAAACGCACGATCTGTTTAACCCCTACGCGTGGTCCAGTAGGCCGCGCAAAACACTCAAGACATATATATATATATATATATATATATAGAGGGTTATTAATATAGGACGATCACTTCTCACAGTCACAGTGGGGCTCCTCTCAGCCATATGTATATGCATGTGAACGCAGGCAGTCAAATCCAAAGTCCGAATCACCAAACATACCTGCAATCACATCAAAGATTCAACCGAAAAAGTCCATGCACTACTCGGGGTCAACTTCAACCATTCTCTGCGCTCACACCCCTTGCTTTAGTCATACCAACCTCAACCTTAGCGCACCCTTCCAGCAATAAAATACTCAGTACCTTTGTTAAATGGCCATTCAATAAAGTCTGGGTAAAAACACAATGAAACATATCAAACCACATGGCTAAAGCCTTTAGGTTGAGTGGTAAGAGTGGACTGGAGTTGAATCGTAAACCGACGAATCGACAACCGACTTGTTATCAATGATAACAGATGATGATCCTCGTCGAGCTGAATCTAGCCCAAGTCCTGAATCAATTGATTAAGAAGACCTGAAACACAAGACAAGCCAACCTTTGATCTAAAATCATAAGTCCATGAAGAGTAATCTCCATATCACGATCTTCCTAATTAACTAAGCCTGAGTCTACCTCAATGCAAGTGCCCAAGCAAAGGTAGACTAACGACAAAACCTCCCCTATTCAAGGTGGATCGCCAGAATCGTCACCTGTCAAAATATAACCTATCCCCTTTAAACTAAGAAAATTTCGGCATCGCTTCCCTTAGGAAAAGTGCCTTTCCAGAATTTATATCAGCCCGAATATAAAAACAAAAATAGCCTTCAACTTTTCAAAGCCAATTTTTGTCTAACTTGCAAGGAACATGAATATGGACGAAGCACAGAAATCCAGAATGCAAAATCACACTGAAGTCCAAGTAGTCCAAGCCAAAGCAGATAGCACAATGGAACCGAGTAACCATCCAATTGAGAATGATACAGAAGAATCGTGAGTCAATGTCCATGCCCAACAGGGCAACACCAACAGCATAACCCAAATGTAGCTCTCTCTTGTGAATGGCGCCAGGCACCCTATCTACTCTACAGCCTAGCCTACAACTACAGCAATGAAAGCAACCAGACAACTTGACTACCATCGAGTGATGATGTCAACACCAATGCCGACCTCCACCTCCACCAGGTACGTGTCCTCTTCACCCACACTCTCCCTTGTACCCACACAACGCCCTTCACCTCCGAAGAACCACCTTCCAAGACTTCACAGGGACCAAAGTACTGAGGCATTAGCTTACGAGATATTCCGAACTCCTGTCCTAACTCACTAGCCTTGACCCAGACACGTTCCCCTACCTGAAATGTGGACTGTCTGCGATGTTGATTCTCAAAAGCAATCATGGCTTGCTGAGCTTTCTTCATATGTTCAACAGCCTCTTGCAGCAACTTCCCATATTGCACACCATATTCAAGTGTGCCTGGAGTTGCGGCGGGTCGATTTTCAGGTAGGAGGAAGTCTAGTGCTTGATCTAGGCTTTCATCCCAAGTGCAGCTGGTTAGGGCTAACGTCGGTACTGCTGTGTACAACATTGTTGTACAGGCTGGCGATGAGAGGTAACTGCTCATCCCAGTCATCCTGGCTGGGCTTGATGTAATGCCTCATCAAGTGTTGTACAACTCTATTCATTTGTTTTGCCAGTCCGTTGGCTTCCGGATGATTGCCTGAAGTCATTTGAAGTTGACTGCCCATCTGTTCAGCAGTCTTCTTCCACAACTCACTTGTGAATCGGACGTCTCGGTCAAAGTCCCTTACCCAGTTGTCCTTGAACAACTTGATGACGTATTCCGTCCTGGCTGTCTCTGGCATTGGTACTAGTCTAGAGTATTTGGTGAATCGGTCGATCATGACGAAAATGTGCCTCTTACCGCTCTTGCTGGTCACTAGCGTGTCCATGAAATCCATGGAAACACTCAATCCTGGACCATCAGGAATAGGTAAAGGTTTCAACAACCCAAGCGGTGCTTGAGTTCGCGGCTTGTCCCGCTGACAGACCTGACAGGTCTCAACGTACTTCTTTGTGTCATCAAACATTCTGGGCCACCAAAATCGCTGTATTAAGTTAACACTCGTCTTTTTTTAGCCAAAGTGTCCGGTTGCGTCATGACATTCGCCTAAAAACAAACTACGCAACTGTTCACTAGATGGAACTACCAATCTCTTTATTCCGGCCTTATCAAGATAGAGTAACTTGTCCACCATCACAAACTCACTTTCCGTGCCCTCATCTTTTGCCTGAAGTTTGCGGATGATGTCCATCGTGACAGGGTCTTCCTCATAGGCTCCCACCAATGATTGAGTTACTTCATTAGATACGCCAAAGTCAGAAACTAGCGCACCTAGGTAGTCTGCTCTACGGGATAGCACGTCTGCAACCTTGTTGTACTCTCCCTTCAGGTACTCGAGCTTGAAGTCATATTGGTCTATGACCTCAATCCATCGCTTGAGTGCATCAGAAAGAGTCGGTTGAGTCTTGATCCATTTGAGGGTCTGATGATCAGTCCTCAGGTAGAAGAACCTTCCCAAAAGGAAGTGTCTCCAATAGACAAGTGCCTTGTAGAGAGCATAGAGTTCCCTTTCGTAGGTGGACTTAGCCAACTTCTTCGATGGCATCTTCTTACTCATGTACTCAATTGGTCCCAACTTTTTCCCATCCTGCTGAGCCAGCATTGCGCCAATGTCGTATTGGCTAGTGTCAGTGGTCACTATGAATGGCTTCTGCGGATCGGGAACCATAAGAACTTCATGATTCATGAGTGCATGCTTCAATCTCTTGAAAGCACCCTCGCACTCATCACTCTAGTTCCACGGTGTGTCAAGTTGAGTTAGATTAGTCAAAGGAGAGGCGACTGTAGGATAGTTCTTTACGAAGTTCCTATAGTAGCCGCACATTCCTAAGAATGATCTGACCTCAGTGACTGTCTGAGGTCGTGGCCAGTCTCGAATACTAGCCACCTTCGCATCCTCCGGCCTAGTTCCCTCCGCGGATACTTCATGACCCAAGTATAGTATCTTAGTGCGGCCAAATTCGCACTTCTCTAAGTTGACCTTATACTTGTGTTGTCGCAGGAGTGAGAGTACTTTCTCAACATGTTGTGCATGCTCCTCGGCAGACTTATTAAAGATCAGAATGTCGTCTAAGTAGACCACGAAAAACTTATCTAAATGGTCATGGAAGATCAGATTCATAGCGTGCTGGAACGTACCCGGCGCATTACAAAGACCAAAGGGCATCACTACAAACTCATATAGACCATAACGGGTCTGAAAAGTTATCTTGTGTTGGTCCTCAGGTCTTATTGCGATCTGGTGATATCCGGATTTCAAGTCTATCTTGCCATAGTACTTGCATCCCTTCACCCTATCCAATAGGTCGTCTATACGCGGTAGAGGCTCTGCGTTTTTCACAGTGATGGCATTGAGGCCTCTATAATCAATGCACATCCTCAAAGCACCCCCCTTCTTAGGTACGAACAGAGCGGGTGATCCGTAAGGGGAAGTACTAGGCCGAATCCAACCCTTCTCTGTCATCTCCTTTAGTTGCTTCCGAAGTTCATCTAACTCGGCAGGGGCCATCCTATAGATCCTTCCCTTTGGGGTCTTACTCCCTGGAATGATTTCTATAGCGTGGACGACTTCCCTATCAACAACTCTTGAGGGCTCTTCGAACAGATCGGGGAACTTAGCAACGACGCGTTCTATCTCTGGGGGTGTTTTAACGGCCTCCCCCTTCTCGGAGACATAAACAAGGTACATACCCTCCTCTTGGTTTTGCTTATAGTAGTTGTAGAACGCGGATGCGCACAAGCAGCCATAGGTATCTATAATACTACTGGCCTTGAACTTGGTCAATCTGACAGTTCGGCCATCGGGCAACTTGTGTTTGAGCACCTTCTTATCCCAGTCGAACTGGGGCTTAGCAACTTCGAGGTAGTACATGCCTAACAGCATATCAAATGGCAAGTCGTCGCTAACCAAGAACGAGATCTTATAGTTAAGCTCACCTCCTCCATAGGAGAAGGTACAAACTACGTCCTTGATGTAGTCCGTCACTATCATGCGCTCCTTGTTGGCCAAAGTAGATGCTACTGGTCTACGAAGGTGCCATACCCGGTCCTGTAGGTGCAGCCCTTCCAAACAGTCGCGACTTATATAATTCCGTGTGGATCCGATGTCTATGAAGGCACCACATTTGCGGCCTCCTACATCAACTTCCACCACAAAATGTTCCCCTCTAGGACCCTTCCTTAGTACCACCCAAGATTCACGAGGGTCCTTGTTTGACCACTCGCTTTCCAGATCTTCTAAGGCTTCAGACACATCCAACGTACAAAGCATAGTTTGGTCTGGATGAGTCTGCGGGGTGACTAAAGAGTCATTAGCTATGGCCATCTCATGAAGTGGGGAGGGTATCAAGCCCACTTCACCATGAGTAGAAACAGCTAAAACTTCCACCGGCCTCACGTGTTTCCCGAGCTAGAAGCCTGGGAAGAAGATGCCCCCATCTTAGGAGGTATCTTCTGTGTGACCTTTGCGTTCTGACACTTGTACTGGGTGTGTCCGTATTCACCACAGTTTATACAAGCGCCACGCACTCGGCGGTCCCGCCACACGTCTTGATCAGGACCTGCCTTGACCCAATCAGCCACTTTGGTCTGATTGGAGGCGGCCTTCCCTTGACTCTTTGGATGGCCCTTTACTCAGCCACCAGCCTTAGCCTTGACTACTGCGGCGAGGGTGCTACCCTCAGCGATCTCCTCGCCGTCGTACTCTGAAGCGTCCAGCAGGTCTGTGAGCTCATCGATCTCTGTTTGAGTCCCATCGGACTCAACCATCATCAATTTAGCCCCTTTTTTCTTCCATTCCTGCAGACTCTTCTTCTTCTTTGAGTCATTCTGAGTAGGTTGAGCATTCCCTAGAGTGGCCTCTAAGTCTAAGGCTTTTCTAGTCAATGTCTTAAAAGAGTGATACTCGAGGCGAGCCTCGCTGGCCAGTAAGTTCCTGAGGTTCTCTGGAAGACATCTTACAAATGTGGTCAACAGGAATTGGTTATCATAGTTGATGCCAGGGGCGACGATAAGGCTCTCAACGGTAGTCGTAAGCTCTCTGACCGACTTGAACTTTCGTTGGTCTAGTCTGTGCATCGCATCAGTGGCCATTTGCTCCTGCTGTGGATTGTGCCATCGAGCTTCTACCATCTCCATGAACTGGTCTAACGTGATTGTCCTAGCCAAGTCCGCCATGCGTCGTCCGTACCCGGCCTTTGCAACTAAACCATCTAGCCATTTGGCTGCCTTACCCTCGAGGTAAGATGCAGCAGTAATCACCTCCTCCTCCTGCAAAGTCCTCTTTGCCTTTACCCATACCGGAACCGTTCTCAACCAAGTGTTGAGTTCCTCATCCTTCTTCTCGCCTGAGAAGGAAGGAGGCGGTTTCATAGGGGTCTTAGGGTACCATTGACCTTGCGGCTGTCCCTGTTGGGGAACAGGTTGTTGTGGTGGTGTAGCAACCACCGCTGGACCCGAAGAAGAAGCAACAGTTTGTGAGACTGCTGCAGACGTGCCACTTGGTTGTGTGCCAGCTTGTATGGGAAAGGGGCCTGACATCGCCGTTAACGGCAACGGCGACTGTGTTGGAGGCCTAAATCCTGGCCTTTGCAAAATGTCCAGGATCTGGTCTAGAGTGTTGTGCATAAAGTCCAATCGGCTGTCCACATGCGCATGCAGTGACATCATATTGTTCTTCAATACTTTCATCGGTTCGGTCAATCCTGACTCGTCCAAACCCTCTAACTCAGCTTTGTCAGCCTCTAACGTTTCAAGCCTGGCTGTTCTATTTTTAATTTTTCTTTCTCTATCGGTTGCCTGTTTCAGCTCCCTCTCTAATCGTTCACGGATCCTTTCGACCTGTTGGAGCTCTAGAAGCTCCCTTTCGTGTGGGGTCAACAGGCTGAATTGTGAGCCAGCCATTTGACTTGTAGACTGTCGAGAACCTACTGAACTGGAAGTACCTGTGGACCCTGTGGGCATACCCAAATGGGTCCCTGACGAGGATACTGCGGACGATGCAGCAGAGGATGCCGCTGCGCTAGACATTGCTACTGCTCTGCCTGCTGCAGCAGCCTGTTCCCTAGCTGCTAATTTCGCTTCTGCCCTCGCTGCTGCAAGAGCACGGGCTCAACATTCGGCACGAAGCCGTGCTTCGTCTCCCGGTTGTAGGGTCTGGAACACGTGCAGGACCCTAAGTGCTCCCGAACGTGTAAGTCTCACATTGTCCTCTCTCCCCTCATCGCTGTCTGATCCGCTCACGAGTTAGGCAAACACTATCTGCACTAGAACCCCCTAGTGGAGTCCTACCACAACATGTGTCTGACCGACACCTAATTTTCTAAAAATAGTTGTGTCCGGCAGGTCCCCTACTTTACCGATCAAGTGTCAGCCTACAACATTCACAACAGATTGTCAACATAGTCTAGATGTATCTTGATTGGTTCACTTACAACAGCATTAGATAGAACTGGCTATGGTAGTATACAACAGTCCTACTCTAATCTGTCTGTTAGGTGTTAGCAGTCTATCCACCAACTAATCAAGAATAAAAGAAGACCATGTTGCAGATGTATGAATAGTGGGTATGGTTGTGTTTCCAGTTGAGCATCAATTAGAACCTACCCTTCCCCTCAATCCAAAATACCGGTAAGCATCATTGAGCAGTGGTGTCTTCGTGTGTGTTTTCGGCCCACCCCTGTGCCCAAGTCGTTGCCGAGCAAGCCAGCCAGTCCACTCTTATTTACCCTCGTACGGAACGAGCCTTACACCCGGTTGATCTGGCTGATCAGGAGGAATTTTAAGAGCGCCCCCATCTCTTCAGGAATTATTTAACGTCGCAGTCAGGACGACGATCACAACCAGATTCAATCCGAGTCCCCAACCAGAAATGTTTATAGACGGTCTGGTAAGCGTCTCATAAAAGGCTGGCACACTCGGCAGGACTTCTACAGCGCAGCAAAGTGCCAAAATGGACAGCAGCCATCACATGCGTGACCTACTCCCATTGGGTTGGCATGGTGACCGTGACCCAGTGCTTTGACCAGAGCCCTTCAGAGGCACCGCCCTTTCTCCTTCCAGATGCTTCCGGGAAGATTGTCGTCTCTCAAGGTAGCGCGCTCACAACACCTCACCAAAAGAGAGGACTCTCAAGTTGGACTCACTTCCTCACGGTAAGAAGAGATTGAGAGAGTAGATAAGGTAAGGGAACAACGTACCTGGAGATAGTTGCCCCCAACCACAGATTTCTCACCAATTGAGCTGAGTGTGCATTTGATGACCGGTTTTGGCCTCGGTGCCACCCACAACGCAATGTAGTGCCACCTCAGCCGAATGCCACATCAGCATGCTCTAATCACCAATCATACATTCCGCCTGTCACCACAGCATATTGTCGTCTTAGCCTTCCGGCGCACACCTCTCTACCCAGGCTGTGCACCTAATATGACCTGACGTCACAAGAACCAACTGCGAAGAAGCATCGTCAACGCACCAAGTCTGTATAACGCCAGCGCACCAAGGTAAGTGGCGAATCAAACCAGCTCTGATACCAAATTGCAAGGAACATGAATATGGACGAAGTACAAAAATCCAGATTGCAAAGTCACACTCAAGTCCAAGTAGTCAAAGCAAGAGCAGATAGCACAATGGAACCGAGTAACCATCCATTTGCGAAACGATACAGAAGAATCGTGAGTCAATGTCCAAGCCCAACAGGGCAACACCAACAGCATAACCCAATGTAGCTCTCTCTCTTGAATGGCGCCAGGCGCCCTACCTACTCTAAAGCCTATCACTACAACTACAGCACGAAAGCAACCAGACAACTTGACGACCAGCGAGTGATGATTTCAACACCAATGCCGACCTTCCACCTCCACCAGTTATGTCTCCTTCTTCACCCACACTCTCCCTTGTTATCCCACATAGCGCCCTTCACCTCCGAAGAACCACCTTCACCCTCACCTCCCCTGCGCCCTCAGGCAGCCCGGCTATGGCCACCAGCACCCTGTGTACAGGCAGCGCCCTACCGCCTAGCGCCTGCCTGTCTCGCACCTCAGCCTAGCGCAGCGCAGCAGCTCGCATTTGCCCAGCGTGCCGGCATTGCCCGCAATGGCCCAGATCCCTGCCCACTCGCCCTGCTTGCCTATATGCCAGTGTTGCATGTGGGCGGCCTCCCTTGGGCCTGTGCCTAGGCCCAGTGCCTGTACCAAGGCCCGATGCAGTTGGGGGCCCAGGAGATGCAGTTGCGCCTCTTTCGTCAAGGCCTGCGGCCAGATTCAGATAGTCGACCGGTTTCCCTTTGGCATTTTCGACCTCTGTATCCAGCATGCATTGTCGGCCTCACGTTTATGTGCCCAGGGCCTAACCAACTCGGGGCCTGGGATTTCTGCATGTGCAGAGCTCCGATACTCGGTGCACACCAACCAACTGGCGTGCTGCAACTGTATGGACCCCACTTCGTGAAATGTTTGCACAGAGGGCTCTTGTTGATTTGCTGGCCCGCCTTCACTTAGGGCGGGCACTAGGCTTGCTGGGGCCTTAGCCCAGAACATGTACATCATGGCAAGGCCCCTTCTTGAGGGCTCAATCCTCACAATGATTTATCCCTTTATACCCCGCTTACATAAGGCATAGAGTCAGGCAACCCAAACTTATGGGACATGCCTAACTTAGCCATCGAGTATACACAAGACAGAGGGCACAACTACTTCTCTCTTCTTTGGGCATGTGACTAGCCCACCCTAGTCGCCCTGAACTGTCTTAATATCCCAACTTTGTATAATTATCTGGACATAGTCTTATAAGGCAGCATATGACTGAACCAATCAACTTAGTTCGAGGTCCAGCCTGCCCCTTCTTACACCAGTTTACTCTTAATTAATACTCTCTTCAATTTTTGATAAGCTATAGGCAGGCCACCCAAACTTATGGGACTCTGCCTGACTAGCCTGTTCTTAAGTAAAATAGTAGTAAGGTATAGCCAAATTATAGCCTTCGGGTTCCAGCATGTGCGCGGCATTGGGCCAGACCACCCAAACTTATGGGACATGTCTGGTCCTCCGCCTGATTCATTCCTCTCTGATTTAACTTGTGCGAGGCTTGGGGCCAGGGCCACCCAAACTTATGGGACATGCCTTGTCCTCAGCCAAAACTCCCTAAGAAATAAAGCAGGAAGAGGCTGAGTCACCCAAACTTATGGGACATGCTCAGACCTCCTTGTTCAGAACCAAAGAAAACAGAAGAAACCCGAAGTAACCAAGGCAACCAAGCCACCCAAACTTATGGGACGTGCTCGACTCCTGAAAAATCAGCCACAGACATCCCTCGCAAGTCAGAGCAATCAGACCACCCAAACTTATGGGACATGTCTGATTCTCCAAGCAATTCAAAACTAAGCACAGTACCGGGTCTCCCCAAACTTATGGGGACTTCCCAGCCTTGAATGACCCAGCCAAACACCAGACAAAACTGTCCTCCTCCCAGCCTTCCCCCTGATTGAATCCCTTTTTGCAATCTGCTTTCATGCAATCAATAAAACTGAAACTGACATTGCACATACATTCCTGTACTCGGTCAGGTTTAAGTCTTGAAAGTCAAACTGGAAATTGAAGTAGGGGTACACTCAATATACGCAATCAAACGTAATCAAGGAATAAAGATAAATGGTTATAGTTGGGTTTATAAAAGGAGAACGAGTTCTTTACCTCTCGGTTCCCTGCCTCCAGGACTCCTCCCGAGTTCCGGCAGAGCTCCCGCAATCGGTGGGTTGACTCCCCACAGAGTCTTGCTGCGGTCCTACGGGTTGCAATCCCGCCTGCCGCCTTCCTCTCAGAACCAACAGACCAAACTTAGAATTAGAAGGGCAGAATAACAGGTTTCAGACGCTCGAGATACAGGAGAGGGACAACTCACCTCGCAGGAGAGGGACAACTCACCTCGCAGGAGAGGGCCTCGCTACCTTGGTGTGCTTGAGGGCCCCGCAATGATAGCGAAACATCGCTCGGCCGCTGACTAGCTTAAAACCAAACTGCCGGCCGCTGACCTCTAAATGACTCCCCAACTTGATCACATCTCCTTGCCGCATTTCTCTCTCCTCAAAATCGGACTGCCGCTGTGGGTAGTCGCGGCAATGCCGAGTAAGGCACAACAGTAATACAGGTTCCAGCAGCACGGCACCGATGCCAACAATCTTGAAGTCCAATCCGGCCGCACCACCCCAGGGCCCGCCGCTGTAGCCAATGGCTCGCTGCTGCAGCCGACAGTACCTCCTCCAATTGAGCTAGCCGGTAGCCAGTGTGGCAAGAGCAGAAACAACCCTCACTTCAAAGCGTACCGAGCAGCAGCTTGAAAAACGAGCCCCATGCAATTGCTAGCAACGCCCAGCTCCTCTCGTCGCCCTCGCTAAGTGAGAATGAATCTTCCACTTAGAGCATGGAAAGGTACATCATTGGCTTCACATCCTTCCCACACGCCGTTGCCAGACAAATCTCGCTTTCTCTCTCTCTGCACATGTGTACTGTCCTATTCGTGATACGCAACCCCACTATGCAGTGTAGCTAGGACCTTCATCGTAGCCTCTTTCGTGCTCGCGCCCAGTCCACCGTTGTTCCCATTTTAGTAGTAGGTCTCTCTTCAGATAATAACCAGGTACACCATCCTATATAGAAACAAACACGGTGGGGCCGGCTGCCTAAAGGAACATTCTCGATTGTAGTAACAGCCAACGATAGGCAACACAAGGCGGCTCCCTCCCAGGCAGACAGGAAGACGACCGCTTCGACAATCTTTCGAAACTTGACTGAGGGTAGCCAGCGGGATCCCAACGGGGCTGCTATGCCAATTGTGATGACGAGTCGAAGTCACGACTGCAAATGGGGATAACGAGGGAAAGCTTTGGTTAGACAGGAGCCAACTACGGCTCGCCTAGGTCAGTATGCAGGACCATCTTGCCCTTCCTCACGAATCCCCCTTCCTCCTGCGTGAACTCGTCGGCCAACAGGCGAGTCTCCAACCCCGCCTGGTCGCCTCCCACAAGCTCCCATAGAAGCTACGAGCAAAGTTGAATGAATCTTCCGTTGAGACTGGGCCGGATACATCCGGCGGGTGAGCTCTTTCTCAACGCTACCTCCCCCTCACCTTGTCGGCCTCCCGATCCCAGTGACTGACCGCACCTCCCCATCAACGATAGGATAGGCAAATCGAATGAATCTTCCACCTAAACACAGAAAGATAAATTCCCACCTCGGTGTTGCTCCTCTCCTCTCGACTTCATCCCGTATTCTCGCTTCTTCTTTAGCCCTCTCCTCTCTCCTCCACCAAAACTAACACTACTAACTGATTCGCCCTGCCCATAAACTTCGAAAAGGCTCCTCGAACGATTTGAACCGGTCTAGAAACGACCGAGTCGTTCCATTTCTTCTCCCCGCTTTTCTCCTCCCCGCCATAGCTCAGCGCAGGCTATTTTTCTGCTATCACCACATCGACTAACCTACCCCCAAAACGACCCTTTCCTCGCTCGATTCCGTTCGGAAACGAGCGATTTACTCGTTTCCCCCTTTTTGTCTTCGTCACTCCCACCATAGCCCACGCACACCATTTTCCTCCCAACTCTTAATCTACTAACCTTCTGCTAGATCCGACTTTATAATCATATTCGCCCACTCTAAAAACCCCCATTTCACTTCTTTCCCCACCCGCTTCCATCAAGGAACGGGCGGGCTGTCCTATTCCTACTCCTGCCATAGCCGCTCCCATATCGCAGCACTCGTCTTTGCTCTGCCCGCATCCGGTGCACTTCCCCGCCCGGATACATCCACCCCCTTCGCTCCCCTGTTTCACTACCTTAGCGCCCTTTTCCCTGCTGCATTGTCGTCCGCTATTGCTAGCGCAGCGCCTGCTAATCGCAATGACCCGTTCATTTTACCCGACAGCCCCCAACCACTCCCTAGCACTTCTCTCCCCTCAGAGGCGCCTCAGTGCTCAACCGGTTCGAGCGGTCTTCCGCCTCTACCTGCAATCCGACAACCGGCCAGCAAGACCGTCTCTGCTATCTTCGAGGGATCCGGCTACTACACCGCCTAACAGTCCCCCTCCCCTACAGGCCAAACTTAGCGAGTGATTGACACAGCAATACTATTTCTGCCTTGCCACCGCCTCCTTCCGCCCGGCTTTGTCCAAGCAGGGCCCACCACCCCGTTTGGCCCTGCAGCAGATTCTCATAGTGACCTGCAGAGTCGCATGCGCAGGCCTGCTGCCAGCCTGGGCGTGCCCTGAGGGAAAACGGGTCTGATGCGGACCTTGGTAGAAATAGCGAAGATTCAAACAAGATCTTTGAAAACCGAAGTGTAGAAAGGAGTCCGCAGGTGGGCAGCCGTCGAAGTGACCCTCCTACCACATCCCGGGCCGCCTCTCCCTTCCGCGCCTGGGCGTGGTTCGTTTCCTTTTTGCGCCTCAACGGGTATGCTCACACCTAAACCCCTTGCAACAAACTGCAATCGGTTGGCGGCACACTCGCAAAAGCCCCCCCCACAGTTCAGACTTTTCTCCGTCTCGTGGGCCCGTCGCCCACGGGCTCGCATGCACGTTGAACTCCCCGGTCCATGTTTTCAATGGCGGCACGTCAGGGGACTTATGCCATTGTCTTGAACATGCGAAACTCAAACGCCCCACCAGAGAAGGCACGATGTCGCACTTTTTCCCAGTCGGGCCACTTCAGGCGACCGGAATGCCAACAGGCTGTCACGCAGGATTTTGAATGTGATTGCAATAAATAAAATAAATTAAATAATGCAAATCCCTTCCTGTTGGGCGCGTCTGGCTTCGAGCGAGACCCTTCAATTGCGGTCTTCGCCGGTCCCCGGTGTAGGGGCCATACCCTGAAGTACTTTCGAGCCTCTGTCGACCCCACTGCGGGTCCCATTTGGCTCGACCCGCCCACGCTCATGCTCAGGGCGCGGGTCGTTTGTCCCAGGGGCACCCCCACCTAGTGCTTTGAGATGGATGGGGATGCGCCTTTCGCGAGAGGGCTTTACATTAGGGGATGTAGCTCCGCTCTCACGTCAAGATGGTAGTTTTTTGGCCACTCGTGGCGTTTTCTTGATTCGATTAAGTCTGGCCAGGCAATTGCTCCTTTCAATACGCAAGCAGTCCAGGGAGTTTATTGAAGGTTTGTCTTCTTATCATGCGCAGGCCAAGCGTCATCCATTGGGCCACGCACCTTTTCACCAAGTCTAGCGGCTCAAGATAGCCCCTACGGCATCCTTGGGGTAGGGTGGCATCGCCCGGACCCCTAACCGCTATATTTTTTTTTGCTTGAGCCACCAAAATTGCATTCACCTATCCACGACTGCCCTTAGTCCTTCCGGGCTTGCATTGCATTCAAGAGAACCATTGCATTCAGTCATCACACAAGCCCCATCCCGGCGTCTACCACTCATTCAAGCATCCGACCATCCAACCCATCCTGCATTCATAGTTTAAGCGGGGTCTAAGTCCTTCCCTCGTCGCTTTCCCTATTCCCGCCCGCATCCGGTGGACGCAGTCCCGCTCAGACCACCCTAGGCTACTCACCTGCGAAAGACCACACAAAGCAAAAGCCAGGTACAATCCCCATTGGGGTCAACACATCGCCCCTCCCACAAGCCTAAGTTCCTTTTGCCTCTGGTGATCCTTTGGTTATCTTTCCCTTCACTCAAGCAAGCCATGCCTTCACCTTAGTCATGCAGTCGGGGAAAATGGTCGAGTCAAACTGACCTCGTCCAAAATCAGCACTCCTTTCCGCTTTCGCAATTGCTCTCAATAGTTCCGTATCCTTCCCTTCTTGGTGGCACAAGGGACCGGCTGCCCTTCCCTTGCCCTCGCTTTCCACCAAGTGAGGACTAAGTTCCTTCCCCTTCGTTCCCTGGTAATGTAACAGGTGAGGGGGGGGGAGGTTAGTCACATGCCATGGGGGGGGGTAGGGGTGACGGAAGGGTTAAGGGTTAAAGAGTTTAGAAGGAATGGAGGAAGGCAGAGGGAGAGAGAGAGAGAGAGAGAGAGAGAGAGAGAGAGAGAGAGAGAGAGAGAGAGAGCAAGAAGCTTCACATCCTAATCGACCTTGCTCATTGACTTACCCTAACCGATTCTGTTCGGAGTTCCCTGCACCTCCTTTCGGCCCCTTAAGGCTCTCGATTGGACAGGGGAGGTGATAAGCGAGGGAGGGTTGGAATGTCCGGCTATGGTGGATGGGTGTAGGCGATGGAGGTTGAGGAAGGGTTGGGGCGTCCGGCTATGGTGGATGGGTGTAGGTGATGGAGGTTGAAGAAGGGTTGGGATGTTCGGCTATGGTGGATGGGTGTAGGTGATGGAGGTTGAAGAAGGGTTGGGGTGTCCAGCTATGGTGGATGGGTGTAGGTGATGGAGGTTGAAG